CTTTCTCTAATTGCTGTAGGTGTAAGTTTAGGTAGTTTATTTGAGATTTTTCATGTTTCTTGAGGTATGATTGTATAGCTATAAACTTCCCTCTTAGAACTGCTTTTCCTGCATCCCATAGGTTTTGGGTCATTTTGTTTCCATTGTCATTTCTTTCTTGGATTTCCTCTTTGATTTCTTCAGTGATATCTTGCTTATTTAGTAGCATATTGTTTAGCCTCCATGTGTTTGTATTTTTTTTTCCTTTTCTTTTCCCCTGTAATTGATATCTAGTCTCATAGTGTTGTGGTCGGAAAAGATACCTGATACAATTTCAATTTTCTTAAATCTACCAAGGCTTGATTTGTGACACAAGATATGATCTATCCTGGAGAGTGTTCCATGAGCACTTGAGAAGAAAGTGTATTCTGTTGTTTTTGGATGGAATGTCCTATAAATATCAATTAAGTCCATCTTGTTTAATGTATCATTTAAAGCTTGTGTTTCCTTATTTATTTTCATTTTGGATGATCTGTCCATTGGTGAAAGTGGGGTGTTAAAGTCCCCTACTATGAATGTGTTACTGTCGAATTCCCCTTTTATGGCTGTTAGTATTTGCCTTATGTATTGAGGTGCTCCTATGTTGGAGGCATAAATATTTACAATTGTTATATCTTCTTCTTGGATCGATCCCTTGATCATTATGTAGTGTCCTTCTTTGTCTCTTCTAATAGTCTTTATTTTAAAGTCTGTTTTGTCTGATATGAGAATTGCTACTCAGGCTTTCTTTTGATTTCCACTTGCACGGAATATCTTTTTCCATCCCCTCACTTTCAGTCTGTATTTGTCCCTAGGTTTGAAATGGGTCTCTTGTAGACAGCAAACCTATGGGTCTTGTTTTTGTATCCATTCAGCCAATCTGTATCTTTTGGTGTGAGCATTTAGTCCATTTACATTTAAGGTAATTATCGATAGGTATGTTCCTATTCCCATTTTCTTAATTGTTTTGGGTTCGTTATTGTAGGTCTTTTCCTTCTTTTGTGTTTCCTGCCTAGAGAAGTTCCTTTAGTATTTGTTGTAAAGCTGGTTTGGTGGCACTGAATTCTCTTAGCTTTTGCTTGTCGGTAAAGGTTTTAATTTCTCCATGAAATCTGAATGAGATCCTTGCTAGGTAATCTTGGTTATAGGTTTTTCCCTTTAAATATGTCCTGCCACTCCCTTCCCGCTTGCAGAGTTTCTGCTGAAAGGTCAGCTGTTTACCTTATGGGGATTCCCTTGTATGTATTTGTTGTTCTTCCCTTGCTACTTTTAGTTTTTCCCTTGCTACTTTTAATATCTCTTCTTTGTATTTAATTTTTGATACTTTGATTAATATGTGTCTTGGCGTGTTTCTCCTTGGATTTATCCTGTATGGGACTCTCTGCACTTCCTGGACTTGATTAACTATTTCCTTTACCATATTAGAGAAGTTTTCAACTATAATCTCTTCAACTATAATCTCTTCAAATATTTTCTCAGTCCCTTTTTCTCTTTTTCTCTTCTTCTTCTGGGACCCCTATAATTCGAATGTTGGTGTGTTTGATGTTGTCCCAGAGGTCTCTAAGACTGTCCAATTCTTTTCATTCTTATTTCTTTATTCTGTCTGCAGTAGTTATTTCCACTATTTTATCTTCCAGGTCCCTTATCTGTTTTTCTGCCTCACTTATTCTGCTATTGATTCCTTCTAGAGAATTTTTTTTTTTTGCAGTATGCAGGCCTCTCACTGTTGTGGCCCCTCCTGTTGCACAGCACAGGCTCCAGACACGCAGGCTCAGTGGCTGTAGCTCACGGGCCCAGCCACTCCACGGCATGTGGGATCTTCCCAGACCAGGGCATGAACCTGTGTCCCCTGCATTAGCAGGCGGACTCTCAACCACTGCGCCACCAGGGAAGCCCTTTCTATAGAATTTTAAATTCATTTATTGTGTTGTTCATCATTGTGTATTTGCTCGTTAGTTATTCTAGGTCCTTGTTAAACGTTTCTTGTATTCTCTCCATTGTATTTCCATGATTTTGGATCATCTTTACTATCATTTCTCTGAATTCTTTTTCAGGTAGACTGCTTATTTCCTCTTCATTTGTTAGGTCTGGTGGGTTTTTACCTTGCTCCTTCATCTGCTATGTTTTTATCTGTCTTCTCGTTTTGCTTAAGTTACTGTGTTTGGGGTCTCCTATTTGCAGGCTGCAGGTTCATAGTTCCCATTGTTTTTGGTGTTTGCCCCCAGTGGCTAAGGTTGGTTCAGTGGGTTATGTAGGCTTCCTGGTGGAGGGGACTAGTGCCTATGTTTCTATTCATGTATTCCACAGATGCAGGTACATCAAGTTGATGGAGATTTAATCCGCTGCTCCTGAGGCTTCTGGGAGAGATTTCCCTTTCTCTTCTTTGTTCGCACAGCTCCTGGGGTTCAGCTTTGGATTTGGACCCGCCTTTGCATGTAGGTCACTGGAGGGCGTCTGTTCTTCATTCAGACAGGATGGGGTTAAAGAAGCGGCTGATTCAGGGGCTCTGGCTCACTCAGGCTGGGGGGAGGGAGGGGCACGGATGCTGGGCGAGCTTGCGGCGGCAGAGGCCAGTGTGATGTTGCACCAGCCGGAGGCGCGCTGTGCGTTCTCCTGGGGAAGTTGTCCCTGGATCACGGGACCCTGGCAGTGGCGGGCTGCACAGGCTCCCAGGAGGGGAGGTGTGGAGAGTGACCTGTGCTCGCACACAGGCTTCTTTGGTGGCGACAGCAGCAGCCTTAGCGTCTCATGCCTGTCTCTGGTGTCCGCGCTGATAGCCACAGCTCGCGCCCGTCTCTGGAGCTCCTTTAAGCAGCGCCCTTAATCCCCTCTCCTCGTAATCCCCTCTCCTCGCGCACCAGGAAAGAAAGAGGGAAGAAAAAGGCTCTTGCCTCTTCGGCAAGTCCAGACTTTTCCCCGGACTCCCTCCTGGCTAGCTGTGGCGCACCCCCTGCAGGCTGTGTTCACGCCGCCAACCCCAGTCCTCTCCCTGGGATCCGACCGAAGCCCGAGCCTCAGCTCCCAGGCCCACTCACCCTGGCGGGTGAGCAGACAAGCCTCTCGGGCTGGTGAGTGCTGGTCGGCACCGATCCTCTGTGCGGGAACCTCCCCGCTTTGCCCTCCGCACCCCTGTTGCTGTGCTCTCCTCCGCGGCTCCGAAGCTCCTCCCCCTCCGCCACCTGCAGTCTCCGCCCGCGAAGGGGCTCCTAACGTTTCCTCCTTCACAGCTCCCTCCCACTGGTGCAGGTCCCGTCCCTATTCTTTTGTCTCTGTTTTCTTTTTCTTTTGCCCTACCCAGGTACGTGGGGGAGTTTCTTGCCGTTTGGGAGGTCTGAGGTCTTCTGCCAGCGTTCAGCGTTCAGTAGGTGTTCTGTAGGAGTTGTTCCACATGTAGATGTATTTCTGTTCCACGTGTAGATGTATTTCTGGTGTATCTGTGGGGAGGAAGGTGATCTCCGTGTCTTACTTTTCAGCCACCTTGAAGGTCTCTCTCTCCTTAACTAGTTTTAATGGTAATTTTTATTGTGAGTAAACATGAATGATACATGTGCAGTTTGTATAAACACTTTGTTTCTTTTTTTAAAAAATAATTTAGTATGTGGGGTTTTTTTGTTTTGTTTTTTTATAAATTTATTTTTGTCTGTGTTGGGTCTTCGTTGCTGTTTGTGGTCTCTAGTTGTTTCGAGCAGGGGCTACTCTTCGTTGTGGTGCACAGGCTTCTCATTGCGGTGGCTTCTCTTGTTTCAGAGCACAGGATCTAGGTGCAGGAGCTTCAGTAGTTGTGGCTCGCGGCCTCTGGAGTGCAGGCTCAGTAGTTGCGGTGCACGGCCTTAGCTGTTCCGCGGCATGTGGGATCTTCCCGGACCAGGGCTCAAACTCATGTCCCCTGATTGGCAGGTGGATTCTTACCTACTGCACCACCAGGGAAGCCCTAAACAAACACCTTGTTTCCATTTATCTGATGCAAGGGCAAGTTCATGGTGTTTTTGAAAAATGAATCATAGAAAGTTTGGAGAATATTCAGTCCAATTTAGTCAACAAATGAGAAAAGCAAGCTTCAGAGTGATAATTGTTTTATTGAAGATAACTAGCACATGACCAAGGCAGAACGAGACCCTGTCCTTCTGATCACTTGCCCAAGTCGGTGTTTACCACTTTGGCGTTGTTAACAATAAGAGCATGTGTAATTATGTTAAAAAGGAATGTTTAAGCAACAGTGCTGAAAAGGTGACTATTATATGGATGGCAGGGAAGTGATTTTTAAGACATTCTCAAAGCAAATGTTAACAGCCAGCAGGCACGGCCCAGCCCTGGATGTTCTCGGAGGCTCACAGGGGAGTGAGACAAAATCAATTTCTTACTCTAGTCCCTCACTTCTATGCATTTAAATGGTCCTGCAGCAGCCCTAACATCTATAGTCCCTTTAATAGACAGCATGGGGCTTTGCTGGTGGCGCAGTGGTTAAGAATCTGCCTGACAATGCAGGGGACACAGGTTTGAGCCCTGGTCCAGGAAGATCCCACATGCCATGGAGCAACTAAGCCCCTGTGCCACAACTACTGATCCTGCACTCTGGAGCCTGCAAACCACAACTACTGAGCCCGTGTGCCTAGAGCCTGTGCTCCACAACAAGAAGCCACCGCAATGAGAAGCCTGCGCACCACAACGAAGAGTAGCCCCTGCTCACCACAACTAGAAAGTCCGTGTGCAGCAATGGAGACACAATGCAGCCAAAACTAACTAAACAAATAAAAATAGCATGAACTTTTGTTTTGTTTTCTTGGTCTGTATTTTTGTTTTCTTGGTCTGTATTTTTGTGATTTGTTTTCAGCACACAGATAGTACCCTGGAACATTCCTCTAGGATATGTAAAGAAAGGCAGGAGGAGTAATTGTTCTCCCAAATTAGAGTTGGCAACATGGATAACTTAAAGTTTCAAGTACCATGTATTTATTTTTGTTTTTGTTTTCCTGTTATTACAGCTCAGAAGATGCTGTTTATATTCGACCTCCACTCTGGTTAAAGAAGGCAATTTGTTCCTCCTCAAATGTTTTCAAGATGGATTTAAAGCAGTTTTTTCCAAAACTTTAAAAGCCAATTCAGGATCAGCACCCCCTGTTCCAATGCCAAAGGAAGATTAAAATAATAACACACAGATGCCCACACTACCTGAAAATGTGCACTTTGGGAAGTTAGGTGTAACTTAAGTGCAGAGAGTCTTCTACTAAAAAACTTTTACAAAAGTCACCATGGTCCCATTTGAAATTACCCAGGTCAGGAGCTGTCCCTCTGGTCAGTGACTCTGTAGGAATAACCACGGGGACTGCTTCGTGATAAAGATCTTGCTTCCTATTTCAGAAGCTCACGGGGACTGCTTCGTGATAAAGATCTTGCTTCCTATTTCAGAAGCTCTGAACACCAAAGATAAAAGCTATCTCATTTTCACTTGCTTTTAAGAAACTGAAAATAGGGACTTTCGTGGTGGTCCAGTGGTTGAGAATCCGTCTTCCAGTGCATGGGATGCGGGTTTGATCCCTGATTGGGGAACTAAGATCCCACATGCCACAGGGTAACTAAGCCTGCGTGGCGCAACTACTGAGCCCACACGCTCTGGAGCTCGTGTGCCACAACTAGAGAGAAGCCTGCGTGCCGCAATGAAGAGCCCACATGCCGCAACAAAAGATCTCGCGTGCTGCAACGAAGACCTGACGCAGCCCAAAATAAATAAATATTTTTAAAAACCTGAAAATAACTTTAAAAAGTATATGGTATGGGCTTCCCTGGTGGCGCAGTGGTTGAGAGTCCGCCTGCCGATGCAGGGGACACGGTTTTGTGCCCCGGTCCGGGAAGATCCCACATGCTGCGGAGCGGCTGGGCCCGTGAGCCATGGCCGCCGAGCCTGCGCATCTGGAGCCTGTGCTCCGCAGCGGGAGAGGCCGCAACGGTGAGGGGCCCGCGTACCGCAAAACAAAAAAACAGAAGAGGACACACTCTGGAGAACCCCTGCCACACACATGCTCCAGCTACATAAAACACATCCCGGGGGGGTCTGGGGTCCCGGTCCTTTTGAGCCCAGCCCTGTTCTGCCCAGAAGCAGCACCCAAGGAGCACGAGAAGGGGGGCCCTCCCCCCTGCTTTTGTGACTTCCAACAAAGAGACACAGAAGACAGAAACCTCTCCTTTAAAAAATTCTTTTCCTGGGCTTCCCTGGTGGCGCAGTGGTTGAGAATCTGCCTGCTAATGCAGGGGACACGGGTTCATGCCCCGGTCTGGGAAGATCCCACATGCCGCGGAGCAACTAGGCCCGTGAGTCACAACTACTGGGCCTGCGCGTCTGGAGCCTGTGCTATGCAACAAGAGTGGCCACGACAGTGAGAGGCCCGCGCACCGCGATGAAGAGTGGCCCCCGCTTGCCACAACTAGAGAAAGCCCACGCACAGAAACGAAGACCCAACACAGCAAAAACAAATTAATAATTAAAAAAAAAATTCCTTTCCTCCTTCCTTTTTTCCCTCACTGCCTCGCATCTTGTTCTTTCTTTCACCTTCTTTTCTTGAGGGAGACACAAACTTAGTCTTATCATCTGAACAAGTTCTTCCAAATTCACTGCTGGTTTTCTATATAATATATATATATCCCCCCCCCCAGGGGGAGGCTAGGGGAATATTCCTCACTGTTTCACCTGCTATGATTTAGGCTACAGGCTAAAAGCCAGCAGAACCTGCTGGGAAACAGAACTGGGTACGGAGGTGAAGATAAGCCATTTTTGCTCCCGTTTTTGAAGGACCTATCCATTGAAAATGTTACAACACGCCTCAGTGGTTTTAAGACATCTCGCTTTGCAGACTTGATACCATCCTTCACAATCAAACTTAGCGCCGGCAAATATTCTACTCTATCAAATTATAGCGTGCCAATTAATAAGCTGTAACACATCTCTGCTAACTGCCATCTTATTTGTGTGTTACAAGAAGCCGTGACTGGGGTGAATTAAATACAATGAAAGACCTTCTATTTTTACCACTGTTTGCCTTTTCCCATCAGGCAGAACCTGATACTTATCAGCTCCTTGAAAAGCCTAAAGTGGTGCATGGCCTCTGTATATTTCTCCCCCACTAAGGTTTACTCGATAAATCTTATTTCTCAGCTTGGGAACCCTGTATGCTCAGTGCTTTATAGTCCGAGCGGTCATCAATAACATAACCGGAGGGCTTCCCTGGTGGCGCAGTGGTTGAGAGTCTGCCTGCCGATGCAGGGGACGCGGGTTCGAGCCCTGGTCTGGGAGGATCCCACATGCCACGGAGCAACTAGGCCCGTGAGCCACAACTACTGAGCCTGCACGTCTGGAGCCTGTGCTCCGCAACAAGAGAGGCCACGATGGTGAGACGCCTGCGCACCGTGATGAAGAGTGGCCCCCGCTTGCCAAAACTAGAGAAAGCCCTCGCACAGAAACGAAGACCTGACACAGTGAAAAAAAAAAAATCTGGGATTTAAAATAAATAACATAACTGGAGCAGACTCCGTCGCCAGTACTGGGTGTTGCTCGTGCACCCAATGTGCTCTGGGAAACATCTTCCCTGCCTGTCTCGGGATCCAAGAGGGAAAGAGAATGGACACATGCTCTTACCATTATCATTGCCTTGCTTGATTTCCTCTGCTGTCCGATCAATCAACACGTACAAAGACCAGACCACGCAGGTGATGGCAATGACGTGGAAGGTGACAGAGCAGAATATCTTCCTCCTCTCACTCCTGGTCATCTGCAGTTTCTCCCACTGCAATTACAAATGAATCACACACAACTGAATCCCCAACCCGTAAATGTTGCTCCCCATTTATACCCCAGGCATAAATCATGAATCGAGGGAAAACATTGAAGAGCTGTCATTTTAGATGACACTATAATATTCACATAAGTCTTTGTGTTTGAAAAGATCTGAAATCATAACCCGTGGAGTTATAACAACTTAAGCATACATTAAAATGAAAAAAAAATTCCTATTCTCCAAATGAATTAAATTAGGTCATTCCTGGTTTGCTACCCTGTATCCCTTGTCTGTAACACGAAGGGGCCAGTTTTAATACTGTACAATTTTCAGAAATCATAAATTTCCACTCAGGTGTCTGCATATTACTTCTCTGTGGTCCTAGGTTATAAGCAGTAATACATAGTCTCTTCTTGGATTAATACATAACCTGATAGAGTGTTGCATTCTTGAATGTGTCAACAAGTATTTGAATGGCTGAATGGTATCTGTGAGAGAAAGTCAACGTCTGTTCACAGCTCTTCTAGAAGACACACTTTATCCTCCCGGCAATAGGAGAAGGTCAGCTGCAGCCCCTTCCAGAGCAGCCTTGCTTTTCTGCTGCCACTACTGTCACAACCACTGTCCCCAAGTCACACTCCTCAGAAAGTTGAGGGCTGCCCCCTCCGCCTTCGGAAGGGGGAGGGCCATGGTGTTTATAGTAAGAAGTCAAGGATTACGTGAGGGGACATCTCCACTATTTACTTTGAAGTAATAGGCTCTCCGATGGGAGTTTTGCTCTCAAACAATTTTAGCGCCTTGACAGCGACACTCACCTGATCACTGTGCTAGGATCTGATCTTTAGTTTTCTTTGCACATTTCTATAGGAAAATCAAACCACTATGATCTTATTAGGTCATGGATTATTTCAGTAATCCATGATTCTTTACATTCTTTTTTCCTAAAAATTGAAGTATAGTTGATTTACAGTATTGTGTTAGTTTCAGGTGTACAGCAAAGTGATTCTGTTTTATATATATGTAAATGTATATATATATTCTTTTTCAGATTCTTTTCCATTATAGATTACTACAAGATATTATAGCTCCCTGTGATATATAGTAGGTCCTTGTTATCTGTTTTCTATATAGTAGTGTGTATCTGTTAATCCCAAACTCTTAATTTATCCATTCTCCCACCCTATCCCCTTTGGTGACCAAAAGTTTGTTTTCTAGTTCTGTGTGTCTATTTCTGTTTTGTAGATAGGTCCATTTGTATCTTTTTTTAGATTCCACATATAAGTGATATCATATTATATTTGTCTTTGTCTGACTTACTTCACTGAGTATGATAATCTTTAGGTCCATCCATGTTGCTGCAGACAGCATTATTTCTATGGCTGAGTAGTATTCCATTGCGTGTGTGTGTGTGTATCACATCTTCTTTACCCACTCCTCTGTCGATGGACGTTTAGGTTGCTTCCATATCTTGGCTGGTAGTGTGAATAGTGCTGCTATGAGTCGTCACATTCTTTATGCTCTTGCTAAAGCAGAATTCTTAGAGCTTCCGAAGACACACTCCTTTCCCATCCCACCCCACCATCATGCTCCATGAAGCCCTGGCTCTGCCACCAGCTCTGAGACATGGGTGAAGCCTTCGGTCTTTCCGGGCCCAGGTGCCTCATCTTCCTTAGAGTCAGAGATGTGACAGAGAGGTGTGGTGGAGAATACACTCCTCTCCTTTTCCTGCATTAACAGACTAAGCCTCTGAGGGTTGGCACTGTGCCAGCTGAAGCTACTTTCCCACCTTCCTGGCAGAGGTGACAAGGACTGTTTCCTACCGGTGACATGTGAGTGGCTATCTCCCGGGATGCTGAGTTTTTGTCTTCCTGACACAGGAATTGCCCCTTCCTCCTTCATTTTCTCTCCTTTGCTATTAATTAGGAATTCCTAATTAATGGTAAAAGCCCCAACAGTCATCTTGCAACCTTGAGGAAAAGTCTTGAGAATCGGAGAGACCTCAGCCAATCGGCCACAGCTCACGCCCAGCTGCCTGTCATATGCGAGGGAAAGAAAGCCCCGTCTGACTGAGCCATTATTTCTCAGGCCTCTGCTCCTGGCTGTCAAATGCCATTCCTGATAGGATCAAATGGAAACCTCCTAACTTCCCTTCCGGTCTGAATGTGAAGGTCCTATCACTTCATTTGTAAGAGAGCACAATGCTTAGAGTCTGATCATGACCCTCTAGAAAGCTTCTTAAACATTTTAGAGAAATAAATGTTTTATTTACAAACACTATCCGTTCCTCTCTTGCTGGCCGGTTAGTCATCACAGAGTTTTCCTTACAGAGTCTGTTAGAGCCAACTAACCATTCGTACCTCATCTTGGACTTTCTTTTCCAACAAACTATATGTTATATATTATTCTAAGTAAATAATGGAAAAATCTTAGTGATGAAGCTACGGGGAAACCAGATGCTTCAATCTAAAATCTATTTTTAATTAATATTGAATTGAGAAGATTTCAGGATGTGCATCTTAGCTTTTATCAAAACTTCACATCACAGGTGTGAAAGATTGATTTTTAAAATTTCATTTTGTTATTGATTTATTATGTTAATCTGAATAATTTGTGTGATAATAGAACAGAACATTATTATTTGGCAATAGCATTTTGTGATTTAATAACTATTTCTTGGATTACCTCCGAATCCAGTATAACCAGATAAAAAGTGCAGGATGGTGCAGAAGGGCAGCTTTACATGTTCAAATTTCCTAAACGTTCCAAGCAGATGGCAATACCTTCATACTAAAATATTCATACCAAATCAACCCTCACTTGTAAGTCTGGCTTTGGGAAGAACGTTTAAAAAGTGAATCTTCGGGCTTCCCTGGTGGCGCAGTGGTTGAGAGTCCACCTGCCAATGCAGGGGACGCGGGTTCGTGCCCCGGTCCGGGAAGATCCCACATGCCGCGGAGCGGCTTGGGCCCTTGAGCCATGGCCGCTGAGCCTGCGCGTCCGGAGCCTGTGCTCCGCAACGGGAGAGGCCACAACAGTGAGAGGCCCGCGTACCGCCAAAAAAAAAAAAAAAAAAAAAAGTGAATCTTCTTCAATCTAAGGCGCGTTTTGATGAAGTGGCTGAAACACATTCTTCAAAAGTAATGAGCCTCAAATAGAAAAATATCAGCGGGGCTGACAGGGATGAACCAAACTCCTTTTAGTTCCAGACAATAGGAGCTCTGAAGCTGTCACTTCCTAATCTCAGCAGCGTTTTAAGAAGTGGAGTGTAAAAGGACCAGCAAACGTTGCTACTTTCCTTTACAAATCGTCTCAGGGACCACTCAGGAATTCACCAGACAGCACACGAGTAAACGCGGTACCACAGCCCCCTCCTCCGGACGATCATATCACTGCACACGATATCCAGCACCAGGCATTCACTGAAACGTCATCAATTTCATAAAATGTTCGTCCACATTTTTGTACTTTCAGGTTTATATACAAAGTTTGAATAAGTTTTGCAAGCCCCACAGTGAGAAGTGGATCGAGAAGGCAAAGATAGAAATCTTATTTTAACAAAGTTGTCACGAAAGGGCAAATACTAATTTATTATTTGGGATGCTAAAATTCAACACCATCAGTTTGCAAAAGATTATGTGATAGTACAGCGCTAATCTGCACAAATGCACATAGCATCGGGCTTCCCTGCCCTGTTTTATAAAGTAATGTGTGCTTACGCCCACAGACCACGTGTCCGTTGTGAACCCCACCCCCCCCCCCCCCCCGACCTGTGGAGCATTAAGGGGAGGGAACCTCCTGGGTGCTCAGTTTTAAGCGGACACGTGTCTGCAGGGGGTCTCAGAGGAGCTGGTGGAAGTGAGCAGACGCAGCAGGGCGGGAGGGAAGGCTGCCTTGAGCGCCTGGGCCTCTTTCCTCGCCAGCCCCTGCCCTCCTCGGCCTGCTCGTTCCCTTCACCTGCAACACCAGCTTCATAATCTTAGCGCCCGGGACCTCGCTTCCCTTTACAGGATCCCTGGGTCTCTGGCACCTGTTTTACCGTCCTTAGCCTTTGATCCCTTATCCAGACCCCTCAACGACAGAGAGAATTGAATAGAACTCCGTTATTCAACTTAGAAATATACAATTAGATCGTTCTGAAAAGACTTCCAAACTGGAGCCAAAATTGACGCAGATACTGTTTCTGTGAAATTCGCCGTTTGCTCTAGTGAGATGAAACTGAGCAAGTGTTCTAATTTAAATTACTTGTATTTGCCTTCTGTCCTAAAATACAAATTCAAAAGCACTGCCTAATGAGAATGCTTTTTTAATGTATTTTTTGTTGAAGTATAGTTGAATTACAACATTGCGTTAATTACTGTGGTACAGCAAAGTAACTCAGTTATACATATATACACATTCCTTTTTTAATATTCTTTTCTATTATGGTTTATCACAGAATATTGAATATGGTTCTCTGTGCTATACAGTGGGACACTGTTGTTTATCTATGGGGCAGAGGTTCTTAAAGAGCTTCCCTAGGAGCATCAGGATCAACATGGGACTTGTCAGTGTGACATTAATGAAAGGAGGAGGCCATTTGGCTGACGTGGCTCAGTGCCTGGGCGCCCACATGAACAAACCAAAATCTAAGCCTCTAGACGTCTCACAATGGACACCAGTCAGAAAGTGTACACGATGCGAGCTGGTCTCTCAATAGAATTACAAATAACCAGGTACACAGACTGCCTGGTTTTCTTGCTAAGAGTCAAAACCTCAAATGTGACATCCATAAATGTTCTGTGGGTCTACCGCAATCTCCTGGAAAAACTCTCTCCCCCCCATAGTGTTCTCTTCCCTTTTGGTCCACCAATAATTACTACTTAGCATCGTTCATGCATGGTCCCACGTGAAGGGGTATTATACATTTCTCATTGAATGCAGCTCCTCCATTTCCCGTGGTAACAGGACAAGAGGAAATGGCCTCACGCTGCAGCAGGGTCTGGGACCCACATCCAAAGAACTCGCAAGCA